AGTTAACGAAAGATGTACAATGTTACTGACAAATATACTCATTAACTTGCGTTACGCATTATGATGCAATGTAAATTTTTCGATACGAACGGGAGAAGATCATACTGTATTTTCTTTGCTCGCACGCAAGACATCCTCCACTAAAGTTTATTATACCTTTGTATATATATAGATGTAAATAAGTAATAATGAATGGGTCTTACAATTAAACAAAATTAGTTGTGTGCTAACATATAGCGTATATATCTTGGATTAACGAGGGGAAATCAAGGACATGTAAGAAAAGATGTTAGAGTTATCTTATTTTGACCGCAATGATTATTATGAACGACGAAAAATGAGTTCGTGTAACATTGATATATCGATGTAACAATATATATTTAGACGATATAAGTTCACATGTTCGGATAATAGATTTCTATTCACTTGAGTTCGAAGATGCGAGTGCTCATTATCAGTCTAATTTTGATACAAGGTGAAGTAGATTCTTTTATTCGATATTTCTATTTAGAGAAATTGACCGCAGAAAGTGCTCCATTGTAAATGCCTTTTTACTATAATGTCATATAAAGATGTTAATGACACAATGTCTAATTGTACATTATTTTTTTAATAAGCGTAGTAACTATTACTACCCTGTGAGTGTGAATAACGGATTACAAAATCTGAGTGACTCTATAACTCATACTCTCCTAGCGATGTTGAGTTATAGTAAATTCAAAATGTTCAATCTGCGCTGCAATGTTTTTGCAATAAATAACATTTTTCAATAAAAATTCAAATTAATTTCAGTGAATTACCATAAGTTTGTTATTTCTCTATTTCGAGACAAAGCTATATAGAATGTTGCCTTTCTTTGCATTCGCAAATTATCTGAATATAGAATTTCATATCAAATAGACAACATATGTATTTGCGTACCAATTTAAAAATTTACACTTTATTATAAGTACGCAACATATTTAGAGGTACATCTAACTATCTTTACCAGGCTCGACTTTATCGAAAGAGAACTCGAGGGAACAAAACAATGGTAAATGGAAATGTTGAATTGTGCGAGTCTGTGTGAAATGCGACGGAACTCTTGCCTTAAAATTAGATAAATTAAATGTATTTAATTCTGTATGTGATCGATCAACAGGTAGCATACAAGAATTACATTTAAGTAGAAGCGAAAGTTGTTTCATTACTCGGTGCTATTTATCTAAATTTAAGGAATCGCTCCATAGGCGCGAGTATTAAATATAGATTGTAAATAGAGAACTTAATACAGGCAAGCTGATAAGCTCTCGAGTTAGTCTATTTCTCTTTGCACATTTCATATTTTTATTACTATATGGACAAGTGATTACAAGTTACACAGTTACGGTACTTTTCGTAATTGCAAAGTCAAGTAAATGTTGTAATTAACATCTGCTCGATGCTTTATAGCAATCATACAAATGTATATAATGTGTCTCGAATTTGAAACGTTGTGTATTACGCACGAGGTTTTCAGAGGATAGGAATTTCCAGGCAGCTGTATAAATAGCGCACCGAAATTTAAATTGGTAACATTAAATGAAGCAATTAAGATCTCGTTTGACGGTCTGGATATTAATTCCACTCGTTGCCTTTTATCTTATTAAGCAGTGAAAGTATTTTATAGTGTGCGCGTTGCGATTGCCCTCGTTTCAACGTTTAAACCACGGCTTTAAACATTCACGATGACATTCGCGAAACGTCGACGATGAGATACTTATTAGATATTAATATTTACGTCTGCTCATAGAATATTCAACTGCGGATCTATTAATGATTTATCAGTCGATACAAAAAATTTCAAGCTGCCCTGCCGATAAATGAATGAGCTGAAATATTAAGAGTAAGTCATTAACGGCCCGCTTTTGGTTGTATCTGTACAAACGGAAAAATGTAATATCCTTCTGCGAAAATAAATATATTTTACAGAAGTTGTTGGTTCTGTGAAGAAGCAAACATTGTAAATTAATTTCGTTCCGAAAACAAGTGGAAATATTTTATAGTATGCTTTGTAAATGGGTTGCTGTAATTTACAATCAAAGTATGTACATATATGTATATTAACCGATGGTAAGATAAAAACGTGTTATATAAACTGCTTTTTCTCGATTTTTCCCTATTATCAAAATCATATGCGTGGCGACCATAATGCATTCATACGCACCCCCACTTCCCGCGTAAGCCAGTGTCCTCATGCGGTCGCTAGGCAACTCCGGTGTAACCTGTGACGGCCATCATGCACCGGTCCACCGCAGTGCACTTCTATTTGCCTATCATCAGGCGCTGTCAGTCCGTCAGTTGACGAAGCGGACGAAGCTCCGAGATCCAAGCTCGCGAACACGCGGCTCGTAGTACGATATCCTAGTCTTTAGCCCTTTGCACTCCACTGTCCCTTCTGAGGGGACATCGTATTTCTAGCGTATCACTCGGAGGGAACATCAAAGTTATTAGTGATTCTCGGGAATCAACTTATTCCAACGCAACTTTTTGAGAAATGCATGTCTCTCTGAAGTTTTCTGCGTTGAAATCAAATCAGAATATGGTACAATTATTAAGATATGTAAACAAAATGTCAGCCGGTATTACGTTGGAACAGAATGCCACTTGAAAAGAGCGATAAGGATGGTTCGTGGAAGAAAGGATCGCACTGTATGGTGAGATTTATAAATATGAATAAACAAGTCTAAAACTGAAGGAAACGATTTTCAAAGCTGAACTCAATTCGAGTTAAAGCGTCAAGCGTTACAGATAGATCTTGTAAGAAATAAAATGTTGATTTTTTTGCAATTATATGTTCCTCGATGTCTATAAATTCATATAAATCAAATATCATTACAATACCTTACTTGGTTCTAAAGCTATAATATATAATATGAGGATTCGTAAGTGCACGCTTTTGCGAGAAAGTGGCGCCGAGTAGCTGCTAGCTAAGGTCCGGGATGGTTCGGAGTGCAAAGGGTTTGAATCAAATCCTACAACACTGATCTATCATAGCGTACTTTATTATTTAGCCATTCTGAGAATAAAATGGCAAGATATTAAAGTAGGCTGTGGATCTGTGTCTTTTTGATGGTCTCTCCGGTTGGTAGCGTCATCTGCAGTGAATTTTATTAACTGAATTCTACTCAGCGCCTCTGTCAAAGTGTACTCTAAACGTGAAAACAGTTCCCCCATTCGAGTGTCCATCAGGGCACATCAGCAGGCAGGCAGGGTATCGTGGTTGCTCGCTCGACTCGCAGATCACTGTCCTTCTGCGCCGAGTTATCATCGCTTCACTTTCCATGTCTCCGACGTACTTAATTCCGCGGAATACAGAAATGTGCGGCGAGGTGTTCATGTAGTATTGGTTCCAACCGTAGACATCATTCACGTGCCAGAACGAGGACCTGTCTTTCCTCATCACCCATCCGTCGACATCGATTCGCAGCACCTCGTGGACTTGCGAGAAAAAGGACTTGAAAAAATACACAACATTCAACATGGAGCAGAAGCGACTGTACAAAGTGGTGCTCACCGGAGGTGAGTTATTTTTCTCTTTTACTAACCAATTATTGTCATATTCTCGTACGTTGCGATTCCGTTCTGAAATCATTTGTTCACTTGAATGGATGCTTCCATGCGTTTTAGATTAAAAAACAGAAAGCGACGTAAAAAAATTAGTTTTCGGGAGCACCACGTGTTCGAGCAAGTTCTAATGTAATACTTTAAACGCGGACTCATCGAACTGCGTTTCTGTTTCGTATACGAACGAAATTAAAGAAACGAAGTTTGATATCGTTTTTTCGTTGTTACATACATGTTGTACGTATTGTTGCTATAAAAATACTGATAAAATTCTTTACTCCGTAGTAAAAGGAATGACATCATTTTGCACATTATTTACTGACATTTGTCACAAAGTTGCGCAGTTCTTATGATCGATTATACCATTGCTTGAATTTTCCACCTGTATGCAAATGTTTGCCGAATCGATTTTACGAGTGGAAAGAACAACGCAAATGAAACGTAGTTTCGGATAATCAAATCCAACGACCTTAGGAATATCGACAGCAGTAAATATCTAATTTTAACGTACCGAAAATGCATATCTCGAGACACTTACAATAGAACACTTTATAACAGTACGTGACATATATAAAAGTTTTTTTTCAAGCTACGTACGTTGTATCGTATCCAGAACAATAAGACAGGGATAAAAAATAGAATCATTCTAAAAGCACGTAGTCGCAGTAGGTCTAAAGTAAGCGAGAATGCAACAGCTGACAATTTATTTTATTTTTTTACTTGTCTTGTCATCAATTGAACCAAGTGTGATCGATGGGACAGAAATAGAGCAGCTGTTCTCGAAGTATCAACCTCCGTAAAGGATCTCGATGATCAGCGATCCATGTGTACGATCACTTCAAATCGAACATCAGTGCCGGCACATGAACGCAATTGACTCTCGCAATTGGTTGTAACGACACTCTGGATCATATCTTGACCAGTCGTCATCTCTTTATCGCAACTTAATATATTATTTTATCAATTGCACAAACGTTTCACAATGGTGTTTAAATTAATTCAGATAACGCTCCCACTTAACTTTCAATGAATCTTGATCGATAGAACCATTCAACTTGGCTACGAAATGCATTCTGCGTTTCCGTCGCTACGATTTTAAGCATGTATTAGCGTTCGTCATATTTTTCAACTGCGATTGCAATTTCAATATCGTGTGTCATTATTGTAACAATACTGTTCCGCGGGACTCGCACAAAGAACCATAAAAATAGAGTTTTCCTTAGGAAACCGTTACAGTCTCAAGGACAATAGACCATCCTACGTAAAAAGACAACTAAAAAGCCATTATACAAAATACCAACCCGGTCCCAACTCGTAAAATCCCATAGATGGTTTTAAGGGACCGCTTGTACCGGGATATTCATTATCCTTTCGCCGTAAGCACAACTTCGACAGTAATCCTAAACCCTTAAAAAATCATAAATTTTGACACAACCGTTAGTTTCATGTTAACGCGTAGATACTGTTTGGAGTATCGCCCTCGTTTCTCAATGATTCTATGAACAATTTTTTTCTCTCATTCCACCATTCCTCTACATCCTCCTGCTTTTACACGCTTTTCCCTATACTCTATCCTACCGACTACAGCCCTGATTTCGCTCGTTTTCGAGCTGTCGAAAGGATATCGTATAGTGGGAATACTCCTTAAGACATATTAGCGTCTGACGAGCTTGATAAAATCAAGTTTAGCGTGCAACAATTTAAACCAGTTACGGAGTCAATGAGCGTACAGCTGTTTGGCAACGTGTGCGAGAACAAGGGTCAAATGCACTTGGAGCGCATTAGTGCATCTCGAATGCATCCCATCCTTTAATTTCTCTCGTTTCATCCATGAGCATTTGTCAGGGCAAGAACAACGTGCCAAATACTTGTCAAATGAAGCTTCATTAATCATTAAATTCATGGTTTATCGTGTAAGTGACCAATAAACGAGTCCACGTTTTTTCAAGCATAAAATAATTCAAAGGATTTAGGATTGATATCTGGAGGAAATTGCATTTCGATTGCAAATTTCTTAAATTTAATTTAATACATACATTATGACGTGATGTTCAGGGAATCGATATGCTTGTATTTTTCAGGACCTTGTGGTGGCAAGACGACCGGGCAGACACGGCTGTGCACGTTCTTTGAGAATATGGGCTGGAAGGTAGGCATACTCTGTTCTTTTTCTCATTCCGCTTTCCGTATGACAAAGAGGTGACACCTCTATACGAAAGGGTCCCACGAGTTTTCTTCCTGCATAAGCCGATCTCTCTTTGAACGATGATTTCAATCTGAATCAACCCCAAACAGTTCAGTAGCTTCTGATTAATTAAAAAGTTACATCGAGCAATTAATCAGGACGTACGCCTGTGTTCCGAATGTTTCAATAAGCATTCCTTCAATCTTTATGCTACGGATAAAATAATTTCAGTTCCATGTTGGTAAAATCTTAGCCCGACAAAATCTTCTCAGATCAAATCTTTGCCCTAACATCGTATGAAGGGATCGTTGCGTATTATTACGTGCCCAGTTTATGTCTATCCTCGAAAATTTCCTTTTGAATCGAGATCAAGTTCGTTCGCATAGCGAGGATGAGAATATACGCAACATGAATAGAGTCGCGTTCAGTCATGAGACGAGAAATATGAATTGGACGAACTGAATTTTGGGGTAATCACCCTTCGATGTGGATTCGATAGAGCGCTGGTTGTCTTCTTTTTCAGGTGTTCCGTGTTCCCGAGACAGCGACCGTGCTGCTCAGGTATGCAATTACACGATAACTTTCTAGAGACAGTCGAAAGATCGGAGGTAAAAAGCGAACGAAAGTCCTCCGTATGAATTTGAAGGTTCCCGCTTCGAAAAATTGTTTCCCTCAATCTCGTAGACCGAACTCGCACCCTTGATATTGGTACGAGTTGATGGAAACGATTTGAATTCTCGTTGCCGAATCAATGTCGATCCGTACGTTTAACTTTCGTTTTGGTGCCTTCGTTACCTGTCGCTGCTGTCCGACCCATATACGATTACACATTGTAATTCAGGCAGATATGGACACCGTGTTCACTAATCGAAATAACGTAGGATGATTCTGCCTAGCGATAAAAGCAAACATGAGAGTACGGCGCGCTTCAACATCCTTTGTTGATCGAAATCAGAGCCGATCAGAATCGCATAAGCTGTAAATGTAATTCCGATCGCGACAAACGATGCAGGATAATCAATCGACTCGAAGAAACGTTATGCGCGCATTATTACGGGAACGCTAATTCAGCGAACATTCTGATATACATACCTACATGATTCTATTCTAGTATCACTGGCATGCCAATAAAAAACGATTCCTTTCGAGAAGGTATCGCGTTCACGTGTAACTATCTCGATTTATTTTCTGATTTCCATCGATTTCAATACTAGAAAACTGTTTCGCCTGTTTTTTCCAAGTAACACGGCCACCGAAATTCTTCCACCACTCACGCTACTTTAATTTACAAACTATTTCATTAGTCATCTACTTTTCCATTTCAGCGGCGGCATAAAGTTTTCAGACCTGAACGCTGAAGAGGGTAAGTCTACTTCAATTTTTCATTTTCCCTGGCTTTAGCATCGCCTACGTACGGTTTAACCCGCTCTGGCGCACGTTAGATATCTCGCGTTTCGTCGACTACCGTTTGCCGATATTTCAATCGACGTAGATCTTATATCGAGTTTACAACTGCGATAAAGAACAAATAGTTGGAGGACATTGCTTAGCTGCAAAATCTTATACTTCTGCATTTGCAATCTTACAATTAGCTAGAGTCGATCAAACGCATAAGATTTACTTCGCAGTTGTTCTCGAAAGTAACTCTCAAAGTAAACGATTATTAAACCTAACATTAAATCTACCGACAGCTTTTGTACACTAATATACTATATTAATATGTTTTACATTTGAGTGGAATTTAATGTAGACACCGGTACATCGGTTTAGAAGCATCTGAGATAACGATTAAGGCTTTAATAATATGGCAATAATAGTTTCTTTTTATTTCTTAAAAACGGTCATGGTAGGTCTAGTGTTAACGTTATTGAAAATCGAGGAAGATGCGTTTCTTCTGAGATTATGATAGCGGATACAGGGCTTTTACGGAGAGACACAATGTCATGGCGGTATCGATCGACGGTTCGCACGAGCACCTCTCTCGTGCCCTCGGTTCATCCCTTGCCTACCTTGTTCAAGTACAGATATCATTGCGTATGCGTAGACTGCCGTGTGATAACGTCGCACAGTCCATTATCTGTGCCCAACGACACCCTCGAATTACCTCGTCCGCGTTCTTCTTTAAATAAGTCTACCCTTCTTTTCATCAACAAAAAAAGTATAAGTAAATCGAAAAGAATACAAATCTCAGATTTTTGATAAGAGTCTAAAATATTAAATAAACCAGCTCTCGAAACGATACGGAAAGAAATCTGGGAGGGTCTTTCAAACGGTCTCGATCATGTTTTCCTTTATTTAGGAAGGCAAAACTAGATAAGATAGTTTCGTTATCAAAATAAATCTGGGCTAGGTATGAATGAATGGACTTCGCTAGACCGTACGCGTTCGCAATTACTCGAAAATTCCTTTCGTATCAATAATCGATCGTTCGAATAGATTTTCTTCCCCGACGAATTCGTCTCGAATTACGCAACATTACGTCATCTTGCATAACCCAATAGCCTATTATCGACATCCCGTCGAGTCCTTGCAGAAGAACGTTTAAGCAAATTGAAGGATGCGGCCAGGAAATGATTTAATTATGGATGGAAAATTATTTGATTTTTCGAGAACAGTTTATCAAGCGTGGATCAAAAACGGAGTCTATAGACATAGCAGTTCGCGGGTGGGCCAAAGAATAATAGCCAATGTATAAAATCATCTATTCATCCGATTGCGTAAAACCAAAACCGGCAGCTTGCCAAGATTCTCGCGAAGCAGCGGCCGCGATCGAGTCACGAGACGTAAGTATCGCGTTTTGGAACGAGCAACGTGGATCACACGGGATGATCCACGCATCCTGTAGATACGTCACTTCGTAAAATGGAAACAAGAACGCCAAGAATAATAGAAAAATGGTCATGACCAAATTTTGCCTGTCGAGTGGCGGGGAAACGTATTCGAGACATTGAATTTTATCAGACCAGTACATAATCATTGGCTATAAAAGTTGTTTTCACATTACTTAGTTGACTATATAAGTATTTATATTGTAACTTCCTATAATTAATCCATGTTAGCTGGTTCATAAACTGTTATCCGATAGGTCACCTGTTACATGGCTCACTTACAGGATTAACAATCTCTAATTACAAGCGGAACAATTATAGTACTTATAAATGAAACATTTACCGAGTCGTATTTCACACCGAAAAGTTTCAATGAACTTAAAAATCAATTACATAACGTAGAAGATTACGCTGTCGCGTTAAGTGTCACTAGACGGATTTTTTTTAAAATTATTTATAAAGTTTTCCGTGGAATTCTACTCGACAATAAGCGTATACCTGTGCACGCGCGGTGGGTACGTGCTTAAATCCTGAAATAACACGGAAAGTGTACGTTTGTCTGCAGGTTCTCTTTCCTCATTGTTTGGCGACCCAATTTATCCGGTAGCGTTTCATATTGTAATGTAATCCACGGTCTCATTGCCTCGTCCCGTAATTATTTGGACGAGTCGTTAATTTTTCCTGGTGTACAAACAACGACAGTATGAATCATTTAATCCGATGATTCCTGCTGCCGTAACAACGAAAGACTCGTGAATTTTCTGCCCCACAACCCTCAGAATTAATCATGGGATAATAATACTCGATGAAGTTACGTAACGCAGAATCGGAGCCGGAACTGCATGCTCCGCTTAGAAATGCAATTTGAATCGTTTATTAACGTTTATTTAGTGTATGTCTCGTTGCGAAACTGTTGCCATTCTTGATGTATCTTGCCAGACCGCGTTTTGTGTATCGAAATTAAAGTACTAGTTTTTAGTCTCATCGTTTCCGAAGCGTCCAACAGGTTTTTCAAGCTAACCGACGAACTGAAACCTTTTATTTCTGGTGTGAATTTTATTCGAGTTCCCCGTGCATCGAGTACACCTATTTTTTCTTTACTTAGACGCATTTAGTTCTATCTAGCTTACGGTTACGTAAAAGTATTTGTCGAGTTTAATCCGTGGCCTTGAAACACCAATACAAACCAGGCTTCCTGAGACCAAATCCATCTTTTGGCTTCTTCAGAAAATACAGATGATCGAAACGCGTCGATTTTTATTAACAATGAAATTCACAGTCGATTTCTCGTGCTGTCATTGGACCGGATTTTTATGCAAAACAGAACGTTTTTAATGTTGATTTAAAAAATGTGATTTAGATAGAAGTTCCTTTCACCGTTTAATGCATTCAGAATTAACGCATGAAATCCTCAGTGCAGCTATTAGAGTTCATCATTTCTCGTCGCTATGCATAATGTGTGATAGAAGTCGTTGGTTAGTTAATGTAGGTCGGCCGCGATGATGCGTTTTATATTTTTATCGATGCATCGAAATAAATTCGTTATAGAGCACCGTTTATTAATAAATTCATATTCGACGTGTCCATCTGATTGTCGGTTCCTCTCTGTCATCATTACCGCTTTCTGGCCGGCTGCCAATTACCGTTTATTATACGACTTCACAACCAGCCAATTGTCTTAGACGCTTAGATACTTTTCAAACTTCTTTCATTTCACAGACTAAAATCGCGTTTCATTAAAGGCTCCTTTTGTGCGGAAAGTTAATAAGAGAACTTCAGACGCGCGAGGCCGGATCCGTATTAGTCTCCCCCGGTAGCTTTTAAAGCGCCAAATTCTACGGCAGATGAAAGATAATGTCATAGTAACGAAATTATGTTTCAAAGAGGACGCGGATCAAAACAATTTACCTGAGCGCAGTCTTACCCTCTTTCAAACGGTGACGGCCAGCAACAAGTAATTCACTCGTCAAAGACCCTCTATACATTTATCCTCCTCCGCGCTCCTCCTTTTGTGCCACGTCCGTATATTTTCTTTGTTTCCGAACAATTTATCGGAGAATGCGCGCGCTAACTCGTCCCGACACGCCAGGATAAAACGCAGTTCGGTATGCAAATGAAACGGGCAAAAAAGCGGCCGAGTTAGCGATCGAGTCAGAGTTAGAGATATTGTACGAGTCTGCATCCGGCGCGGCGTTCCCGTTCCTTTTTTTTTAAATAGATTTAGTGGTTGATCTTTGCAAGGTCGAACTGTGCCTAAGAATTAATATTAACCAGCTACAATTAACAAGTTTACCGGTTATGACGAGACACAGCAGGTTAGGATAAGTCGGATCAATTTGCGCGATCAGTAAAATCATATTCGACGCAGTTGTTCGTTCTATAGATTTTTCTTGCGTCGCGCGAACTTACGTAAAAAGTTTCGTTGACCGAGAGCTGAAACCCGTTTTAGTAAGGTCTCGAATGACGCAGAACCGCGTGAACCATTTAAATCTACTGGGGAACATGATTGAATCAGGCTTGAAAGCGTCGTCTCTAAGTCGACTAAACTTACTAAAGTTACTCGCATCAATGTCGATAATTAACAGAAATAAAGAGTATCGTATTTCGCACGGACTGTGAGAAGAGCTCGACTCTGTGTCATGCGAAATTAAGCGCCACGGCTCGCGTCTCTGCTTTTTTTTCACCCGCATGGAGGAACAGTATTTACCAAACGTGTGATAGTTCCGTTTTCTTCCTCTGAAGCCTCGTGTATCTCTTATTTCGCTTCTCAGTTTCAGCCCTTGTAAAATTACTCTTTGCAATTCTGCATTTTCCGCTGCTTGATTTATTGTGCAGAATCATGAAAAATCAACTACTATGTTTCTCTCGGTGTATGTTAGGTTCGACCAGAATTTTTGTCGTGCAGGCAGTAAAAATAAAGTAGCTAATTGCAAGGGGAATCGATAGGTTTGGTATCACGCGGAGACAGGACGAATTCGCGTGCGGACTCGCTAAGCAATTTCAGTGATAAATGGAAAATCTTAGTTAATAACGATGTAGATCGATCGATCGTCGTAGAACGATTTAATTAAAACTGTTGACGGGAAAAGGGATAAGGCGCAGTATGAAACGCGCGACAGACAGGCTTATCGAACTGGAAGTGTCTTCAAGGTCGGTTGGTTCTAGCAAAGGGATCCGGATCGCGTTCGTTGGTTGCAAAGACTCCGCAGCGGCATTATAGGAATAGATCGGACAATGCCGAGGCAAAGTGGCCGGAGATCTTGGAGATTGACTCCGGTGAGGGTGAGTTTTAGATGTCCACCCCTTTAAAAGGCGACAGGAGACAAGAAAGGGTTCCTGTTTTGCTACCTGCACGGTGGGAAATCACGGTACAGAGATTGCGTGTTGAAAGAACGTCGTTTCGGTTTAAAAAAAATAATACACTCGACACTTGTAATAAAATACTATACTTCGGCATAATTTTATTACAATTGTCGACTGTCAAGATAATTATTCTTTACATTTCTCTGTGTTACTTTTTTACACTTTATATAGTTGTGATGAATGTAACTTCTGGCTAGTGGCGGTGATCTCTGAGCGTGGTTTAACATCGTCAAATGCAAAAAGAGCCGGTCGCCTTGCTAGAACGATTCGAATCGATCCCTGCTGCGTGTCATCGTGCTGCACCTGGTAAATTAGGTATAGCCATTTGTATCACACAGGTTATTGGCACACTAGACATCTTTAAGTTTGTATGGTTTGGAAATTTTCAACGGATTCAAGGCGAACGCCTATTAGTTAATCAGAGTGATCGTTAAATAATGCATTCCCCGTAATAGAGCGACCTCGTCCACCTCTCGATTCTCCTTGCTCTTAATTCGACTAGTTATCAGAAACGCAGTAGCCTGTAATGTACACAAGCTAGACGATCAACACTGTTTAATCACACACCGTCGTCCATCCGTGAAATCGTAAAGACGTGTTCCTTGTTTCGATGCCGGAAAACGAGACCGGTTAGGACTCGATAACACGGACGAGAAACACCGACTGACCGAGGATTATTGGACTCTGCCGAGGTCTCCGACTGTTTCATTAATTGGATTTTTTCGCCGATTCGATAACGAGAGTGTATCGCGACGAGAACTCGCGCACATGGTGCAAGTAATTGGTTCGTCTGAGACGTTACGCGATATCTCGGCCAGATGCGCATGCATGCATAATTATATGAGGGCACGAGTGTGGAACACATGCGAAACGATCGCTGTGGGGCTTTGCTTTCGACGATGTATCAGAAGCCGGACCAGCTAGACTTGAAATAATTGTAAACACGCAGATAAGAGACCACGAAGTATCGTTTGAAGAGCATTAGATGAAATCACGTTACCCTCCACCGATTCGTGTTCGTATTATCTACGAGTACGATAACGATCATTAGGAAACGGTGATCGGTAGTACGTATTTATCGATAGCTTTTGCAATCGAACTCGAGCAGCTAGATAAGAACGTGATTTATTCTTTGCATCCGGACCATCGTAATAGCATTTCTCATTGAACCGTTCACCGTCGCACGTATTACAAGTTTTTCATACTGAACGTTGTAATACGTCACCACGTTTGTTATCTTTGCTTAAGTACGTTAAAACGAGATCACCTAGAAGAGAATTGATGAAGTATCTTCACTCGATGGGAATTATCGATTATCGATGCAGCTGAGCTAAACGTACGACTCATTAATTAATCGCTTGCTATTAAATAAATAGTCGCGAGATAAAAAGACCGTAATTGTGACCGCTCCAGTAGATCTCGCGTTGACTCATCATATAGACGCGTCTCTTGCATATGAATAAACCTAAATTTGCCATTATCTACTTCGATGTGTTTCAGGCTTCAAATTTCAAGAGAATCTTCTACGCACGATGATACAGATAGAGAATACGTTCTTCCAGCTGGGCGAGAGCTGTTCGAGAAATTGCCTTATTATTTGTGATCGTGGTGCTATGGATGCCTCTGCATGTAAGTTAACTTCTCTTAGTATCTTCTTTTATGAACGTTCGACTTAATCTCGTTTCTATTCAGTTATTTCGAAGGATAAATGGGAACTGATGATGGCCTCGAACGGCTGGAACAACGTCGAACTTCGAGACAACAGATACAATCAAATCATCCACATGGTTTCGGCAGCGAACGGAGCCGAAGAGTTTTACTCGACGGAAGATCACGCGTGCCGGTCGGAAGGCGTCGGGCTGGCCAGGGATCTCGATTACAAAGCGGCTGCCGCCTGGGTCGGGCATCCTTACTTCGACGTGATAGACAACTCGCAGGATTTCGAGTCAAAAATCTGTCGCATGATTGAATGCGTGTGCCAGAAGCTGGCTATCGACATCGGGGACAGGTTGAGATCCAGCAGTCGTAAAGTCAAGTTCCTCGTTAAAAGTCCTTTGCCATTGGACTCCGAGTTCCCACCGTTCCAGGACTTTGACGTTGTTCACAACTACCTCCAGAGCAACAATCCTAAAATGCAGGCCCGTCTTCGTAAACGCGGTCAGAAAGGTGCGTGGAATATGAATACACGTGCAGTTTGTTGAACATCGAATTTGATAATATGTAATTTTGCATTTCCAGGCCACTGGTCTTATATTCACACGATTCGGCGTCCGAAAATGTGCGGCCAAGTGATCGAAGTCAAAACTCAGTTGACTCACCGAGATTACTTGAACATGCTCGCGCAACGAGATGACTCGCATTTCACCATCTTCAAGCGCCGACGTTGCTTCCTCATCAACAATCAGTATTTCCAACTAGATATATATAGAGAACCAGCTCACCCGAGGTAAAACATAGGAAATCGCTTAGGTGCAAAATGATTGAATTAGGGGAATCGATAAGAAAACTCTCGGTATGGTTTCAGATGCCGTGGATTAATGTTGCTCGAGACGTACACAGCTTTAACGGGAGACGAGCTGAAGAACATATTACCACAGTTCCTGACAATCGAAAAAGAGGTCACTGGAAATCCAGATTACAGTATGTTCAATCTCAGCTTGCGGGAGGAATGGAACAATACCAATAAATACTGCCACAATTTACACGGTATGTCATCGCCTATACTTTTTATAATCAAATAGTATGTATATGAAAATGTACAACTAATTCTGTTTATATTGTATAGATTACGCTCTTGCAGGCTTAACGGAATCTGGATCGAAAGAGAAGAAAAATATTTCGCCCGTCGAAGCGAAAGATAAGAAACAAATGAACGGGGTCGATTGTAGAATGAACGGTATTGATGTTGCTGTAAATGGTGTAGATAAAGTTGTGAATGGCGTAAAGAATGGTGTCCACAATGTTGCGAATGGTGACGCGAAATTTGTTGAGCAAAATAGCGTGAAGAGCAATAGTCAAGAGAGCGTTAAGTCTACGAAACATTGAACCATTCTTAGTAAAGAAGCGTTGTGATGAGAACGGGTTTGAGAATAACGTGAAATACGCAGTGGTGAGTGCATTAAGCGACGAGGCAAGTTACTTAAATAATTCCAAAAGGAAGACAAAGTACTTTATTGGCATTGACTTAACTCGATAAAGCTGATACCTACTTTTTGAACGATTTTTTGTGCACACTTCGGAAGTGTCATAATCGACGCCGATCAATATGCCAAGTACTTTTACATCTGAATCACTTCGCTTCATTTTAATTTTCTCCTTTCGTTCTCTGTCTTGGAGTATTTACCGTAACTGTTTGTTTAAGGACATTACTATAAATGATTGTGATACAAAATACACGTAGCGGATAGCATACGAAATATGTATTCAGATATGTAATTATTCAAGAACACATACGATCGGTGTAAAGTATACTTTACTTTAGAAAGTGTTTAACGTTGTCTCGATAGAAAAATAATGTTCTGCACTAGCGTAAACAAGTTTTAATTCGTACATCGTATTGTAGAAGACGAACACATTTTTCGTCCTTTCTGTAGGCGTAATTACAAATTTTCTAAGTAAAATTGTTTATTAGGGGTCTCTCATAAAACGTCGAGATAAATTCAGTGTTTCACTTATCTCTTAATGAAATGTATCGTCAACTGATTGAAGAAGCGGTATAGTTCAACGATTGTACTGTTCCACAGTATTGTCAGAATTATGTATTGTAGTCATGACGAAATAATTGTCAAACATGCTAGTATTTAACAGGTGTTTCCATACGAATTTTAAGTCCGAAGGTACTCTAATTTATTGGGAATTCCGTTTTTGTTCGTCTGAATAAAGGTGTCGAATTTTCCATTTTTAGACTCTCTTCACTTAAAATTTTACTCATTTCAGAAACGAAAATTGTTTCATCATTGATCATAACTTAGTGAACGTGAACTGTGATGATTATATTATATGTTTATTTTACATATGTTTATCACAAACTTATCGTTACTTAAAGATGAAGTGCCTGTGAAATGTTCTGTCGCGGAAATAAAAAAAATGATATATAAATATATATTTTCAATGAAAGATGCAATAATCAGTTATCAATGCACTTGTACCACATATAATTGATCCGAACTCATATTGTATTCATGATTATCTAATAAAATGTCATGTGCCTACCACTTCGTAATCATTTAGATCCCTCAAGGTCCTGGCGATACAATTAAGGTGAAGATAAGCAGAAACCAACAGCCTTCATTGTCATTAAGATTTATTAGTATTTTTTTAAAATTCTCTTTCTTAATATGATCGCTACATAAAATAAAAAAATGTTTACAAATTTACGTGATCATTCGATAGATTTATACCGTAACATTTTCGATTTAGCGTGTTCCCATATTCGATTATTGGTGGTATTTAATAAAACGTGGATTACATAGGAAGAAGATACATAATTGAAGGAAAACTTTCATTAAATAATAAAAATACTTAGCTAAGTAGATCACATAAAAGGGAAGCTACATAGACGATTACATTAAAAAATTAGTAAAGATAATACTTCTTTTCCACTTGTATAATATGTATAAGCGCTTATTTTACATAACATTATGTAAAATGTAATGCATAGTGGAAGCGTAATTGATTTTCTTTTGGTATTATTAATAGATCTAAGTTAGACATTGGATTAATTAATTTCATCGAGAGAAGAAGTATCAACAATATTGTACATAATCGTTTTTTTTTTACATATATGACTTTTACATGGACGATACATATTTCTTATTCTGTACAGTATCTAAAAATGTTTATCAAAGTTGCCGTTATACTTCTTACGTTTCAATTAAATAGTATATGCGCCAAATATATATATTTACGATTACATCGGAGTTTAATACGGAAAAACTTTCGAATAGTTGCTCCCTTTTTTTTAATAAAAGAGAGAAATATGGATAATTAAATTGCATAACAAAATATCGATGCATGTATTATATCGAGAAGACGTGTTCAGTTTTCTTGGACAAGTTAATACACTTACAAAGCTATATGCATGCAAGACGTAATGAATTATGATCCGTATACGCAGGTCCCTGGAAGTATTAATTATATAATTAAACTCTATCCTTTATATACATAACAAACAGTTCTTTTATAAATATTTGACGATATTTAAATAATCCTGAAACTTTCAATTGATTTCAAAATAAGCACGATCCACACTTATCATACTCGTTTATATTGGAAGCATATGTTCATTTTAATTTTCTCTGTCGTACGAAGAACTGATATTGCATTTCGTTTATAAACTTTATGTTTTTTGATTATCATTTCTCATCCAACTTCAATTCCAGTTGTATGAATTCATTTAAATTATATAGCACGTGTATAAATTATACATTGTTTCTCTTTCAAAGCATCAGCTAACTATAAGTAAATATTATTTCTATGCTTGACACAGTTGCGTTTACCTACTAATAGCTTTAGCTTGTTGTGCTTTGTACATTTTTAGGACTTTCTTACTAGGTATCAAGGATTGACTTAATCCTGGCCTCTTTTTACGCTTATTCATTTGGTTATTTTCTTGATCGATCTCATCATCATCGTTAATAGCTACTTGACCGTTATACTGGGTCTGGCAAATAACTGTTTCTTGTGGTGTTCGAATTGCTTCTAATTCAGCTACTGTGCGATGTAAATCAGAGTCGTGTGCAAAGGTGCAATTATGTCCAAACCTGCATCTACCCTTTCTGTAGTTCCAGCAGATCTTTCTGCCATTTATCATTTTTGTATCATCAAGGGTAGGAGTCATTTTTACATGTTTCTCAAGAATTGCACTCTTCGCCTTCTCTGCCTCGACAAATGGATTTGAGAAGACTGAAGTTTTCATAGTGGGCAACCCATTAAAATCTGGAGTTGGTAATGGAAGCTTCTCTTTGGAAGATGATTTATTCACCTCACTGTTCTCGTTGTTTTCCTCTTCCTCGTCATCCTCTTCTTCCTCTTCCTTAAAACTAAGAGTTAGGCAATATCAGATTACAAAGAACAAAATCAATCTGATGTGTACGTATTAAACTGTGATTTAATGTTCAGAACCGGGTTAATAAACATAGAAATCGCATAAAACAAAATGATCAAATGTGAACGTGAACATCGTATTTGACTTTAATCGTGTAATTACATGAATGAAATAATTAATACATTTACATGAAATTCAATGGTACGAACGTAATGACATGATAATAACTCGGTTGATAGTTAAAATTTACGTAATTATGATGGGTTAGATGAAGGTCCAAAACAAACAATCGGAAAATATGCTAATATTGATGAAAGCTTACCTGTTATCGGCACCATCCGAAATATCTCCGCTGCTTTCCGAACTCGAGGAAGTTCCATAATCCGCAACCAAGGAAGCCATCGTTCTTACCAATTAAGAATTATACTAACAAACACTAATCCAATATAACCATTATAAATTGTTATGCTACTGACTGTACAAAATCTGGCAATACTGCGAACGCGAACGTCACCGGAAGTTATTCATGACGTCGTCGTATTTTTGAAATTAGCGGTACGAGACGAAGCCTCAAGTTCTACTAGGCTTATTTTTATTATTTTAACCAATATTAATGTTCTTACACATCGAGAAACAAGGGAATACGAAGTACACATTTACTCGATTCATACACGATTTATTTACGAACACGAAACACCGTTACTACTTATAACAAAATTACATGAAAGGTTCGCTTCCAATTGGGAACTGTTCCAAATCGAAAGTCTTCTACCCGCTAGTCCCTTTTTTTCTATCAATAATCTCGTGTTAGGCACACGTGCCCAGTATTTTCCTAAATTTGGGAAAACTTCGTTACAATCTTTACTGCTTTTAGGTATCGCTGTGTTGTTCCACTGAGTGATCAAATTAACAGTTACGAATGACAAACAAAATTCTCTTGCAATAAAATGGCATATATTTGCAAACTTATTTAGTGAAATCGTCGTGGCCTTATGGTCTCGGGAGAGATGAAAAATGATCGCTGGTAGAGAGTCAACGATTATGATTCTTGTGCGATAGCCTGTTTTCCTTTCCTCTTTCAAATTAAATACTAAGTATTCCAAAACTTCGGTCAACCGTTGCCAATCGTGTATGCAAGATATTCTTATTCGTTCCATAGTTTCGTTTATGATCTAGAATTGAAATAGAAATATATTTTATTCATCTGTTACATCATCGTACAGTTATACGCTTATTATATGTACCTGCTCATCACAGTTTTTGTTTAGTAAGATCTGTTCTATCCTTGAAGCAGAAAAATCTCTCTTTGTATCAATGTATCTTACAAGATTGCGAGGTTCAAGGGCAGTATTGGCTGCAATTGTTAAACATAATTGGGTTTTCCCACTTGCAGGTACGCCACAAAATTCATATATTTGGCCAGGGTGTAAACCACCTTTTAATAGATTGTCTAAACTGTGTTCGATTTGAACGTTAATGCTTTAATAAAGTTGGCATTAAATACTATTTCATCTTCTATTACCTTGATATATTAGTAGGAACTATATAATTCTGTTCTATCTCATAAACATCAGAGGCACTCTTTATTCTACCTCCAAACTTGATGTAAATATTTGTTTTAATTTCGTAAATATCCTGTAAATTTAATCTCCAAATTAAAATTTCATCAATTGCTCCAAAGAGTGTAACTTTCTTAATAAATTTGTGAATGCATACTTTAATCGACAATCCTGTGAATCTTGCCAATTTCTCCGAATCTTCATTTATAAATTGTATAATAGTAGAAATGTGTTTATCTTGTAATTTGACTATTACGTCATTTGATAATTTTGAATCTACGTGTGGACTTAATTTTGTCATATTTGATTAAACGTTTCACTATCTGACGATCATTTAGATTAAATTTTCGTTTCGTTAAATTTACATTACAAAATCAGTTACATTTAATTGACCACATTCCTACCTTCGAATCTATTATCGAACACATATAAACTTCCGGAATGCTTTAACTTATGTTTATTAGAATAAATATCGCATGCTTGATTATGAATAAAAATGATCTTCCGAGATTCCACGTATTATTTTAAACCGGATCAATAAAATTTATCCATCAGTTTATTTTACCGTGTAAAGGAAGACTTGAAATAATCATACGGCATACTACGTAGATCAGTGCTAATGTAACAGTGAATACATATGTAGTTCCAAAAGATGATGCGCCGAGTACCGAAATGACCTCAGCGTCATTCTTACGATTGTGCGTATTACACGCGGGGGCACCTCGTTAACGCACACTAGTATCAGAATCCAGTAGAATCAGAGAAACGTACGACACAATTCGAGTATGCTAAATTGCAGTTGTTATTCGATTATCATTCACTCGCGATCCGTTATAAAATCGACCACGGTTTTCTCTCTAAAAATTTATCGAGACGTTGCCATTGTGTTTAAAAATGTGTTTAGCATACGTTGCTTCACTAGACCGTGCGCATGTGTTCGCTACGTGGCCATGTATCTCTATGAATTTGGTTAGGGAAAGAGACGTTGGCTGATGCCAAAGGCGACCACATGAAGATCGACGAAAGAGTAAGTTAAAATACTTTCCTTTTTCACTATTATTTGCTCTCGTACCAGAAATATTAACTTATAATGGAACTTGGTTAATAGACACGTGGTGTAATTTCAATGTAGGTGTATAGATCGTAGATGTAGATAGTAGATGTATACGTATATGTATGTATTCGTATTCAACGTATATAGTTGAATGTTAAGTTCATTAAAATTTTATCAAAAGGAATGTTTCATTAATACATTATTCTACGAACACTTCTTAACTGTAAAGAATTGGTACAAGGAATTGGGAATTAATATTTAATTATGTAATTAATGCGTTATCAAGTAAACGGACCACGTGGTCGGCGGCTGTAAGCAAAAAGTGTAAATGTTTAAGGAGATGGCTATATAATTCTACGGTATCAGTTTGTTTGGATAATGAGTTGAATCGAAACGTTGGGATAGCGACTTCGTATCTATTATCAGGAATCTAAAATGATGTAATGCTATTTGTAATGTATGTATGCCCATATTTGTCGATTGCTGGATTCCATAAAACTGTCGTTAAAAGATGATATAAAGTTCGTACTAGAAAACAATTCTAAACCAGACGTTCTAAACTTTTATCGGATATTTTGTGAATAATCATTAGTAAGTGATGATACATTTAAGTAAAGATCAGACAGCAGTAGTTTAACGTTTTCTATAAAAATTGTTCACGAATCTAATCCGAGCCTCGATATAATAAATGGTACAGCCCAGTTGTTAATAATTGTAGTGCATTTAATCATGCTTGCGATAGCAGATTTTTGTGGAATGCTTTTACTTCCAAGAATAATAGTTACTGATTTGAGTTGTTAGTCGGAAAAGGAGTCCTTTTAATATTTTTACCGTCGACCAATGGGAGCGGTTCGACGCTGCCACGTTGCCAAGTATCCGGTCCGGTTCGACCAATCGTAGACCCGGCGAGCGGTCGGAGCGGCATCTCTCCGTGGCTTGTATAAACGTGAAGTAGCCAGCAGCTTTCGGCCTGGTCGCGGTCGAAATTTGTCGGGAGCCGTCGCCATGTTTAGAAGTGTGTGCGTCCTTGAGCGAGTCGAGCGAAAATGTTCTGTAAAATATTAGATATAGCTCATGCACTGTACATTACGTGAGGTACCTAATTGCGATTTAATGCTCGCCGATCACGGGTGTAACAATTATTTTCGTGGATGGCTCGCCTACGTCGTAGAATTTTGTGATTACATTATGGTAAGTCCGCCCTCCTATCAGACCAACGCCAATATGGCGGACGAAAAATTTCCTTTGTATCGCCGCGAGGTTCCACTGACGCAATTGTGAAAAACGTATTTCTCCTCATTGCGTTACCATCCGAACGAACGGAAAGACTGTTATTTCGTTACCAAGAAGCCTGGCTAAACCATTGGTAGAACAATTATTATTGTTGCATTAACGCAAACCGATATTTTTCTCCTGAGAAAACTTGAACGCCCCGAATGCTTCATATATCGCACGTTTACGTATTCGTTACAATCTTTTGATATTTTAAATGACATCGTTTATTTCAATGTTCAGCCGATACCGCGTACGGTTTTCCTATTCCTGATGCTGTGATTTCTTCGCGTATTTTTTCTTCTGCGCATTATGCACGTTTTACAAATTCCAATGTGGTGTATCAGTGAGATCAACGGAGAAATTTTGATTTCGGCGCTTTTTTCACAAATCAATTAACGTTCTTATTTCGACTCATTTCTATTACTTCGGCTGGAATAAACTCTGAACGCGGATATTTCAACGAGATTTTTACAATAAATCGCTCGTGTACCTTGAGTAATCAGAAAAATAAACTGTTGTTAATAATCTGAGAGACTCGAGTTTGTTGTTTCTTGCACATGTTTTTCTTCTATTAACGATTTCATACGTTCACTTTTTATTACGGGATAGTTGTACGATGGTTAATGAAGTTTTATAATCTCGTGTGTACAATTTAGGACTTGAAGTTGTTGATATATTTTTTTTCAGTTTTTTGTGTTTGGTGTTTCTTTTGTTTATGTATTTGTTGTTACATCTTGTTAGCGTAGCCTGAATCTGTATGTGAATATATATCTGCAACATTGCTATTATTATTAATTTTATTTTATTTCCTTGTTATCATTCACGTGATTGTATGAATAATATGAATATTTACGTTATAAAGTATAAATAAACTCCAGATTTCTCTCGAAATTCAAACTTTTAGCATTAATATTGAGAATTGTAATTCTGTTCAATTATTGTATATGTTGAATAATAAATTTCGTAAATATAATTACCGCTCATTACATTTCTGTTGTGATTAATGTGTGGTTTAATAAATAATTTTTCGAATGCAAACTGTGTATGAAAATTCTATATAGAATAATAAATTCATCTCGGAATATACCTCAGGGAATAAAAACATAATCAATATCGTATACTCTTATTAGAAGAAAAATGTTACTAAATTGTGTTATAGTGTAATGAGTGATAAGGAGACTACACCTATTTTACCGCCCCTAAACGGGGGTGGAGGAAACAATGGGGGTAGTAGCGGAGGTACACCACAACAAACTGTTAATCTGCAACAAGTCCTTGCTTCTGCTCAAGGACTTAATGTCCTCACCACCGGTGCTGGACAGCAATTTGTTATTACTTCGCAGGTTCCTGGTCTCACACAGGTAAACACTTTGGTTTTGTTTTCTAAAACGTTTTGTACAATGAGCGTTCGAATGACTTGTGTGGTTGTTAAATGGTCGCAGGTTCTACCAAATAATGCAACGACAAATGCAAGCATTCAACAAGTCGGCGTTACAAGAATCGTTAACATCAGTGGGACGCCTCCGTGTACAAGCGTGGGGATCGCAGGTGCAAGCAGTTCGCCTCTCGCTTCCCCTAATAGACAAGTTTCGCCTAAAGTTGTTTTAGCAACATCCCCGAAGCTTGTTCGAACATCGATTGGAAATATATTCGTTGCACCGACTTCTCAAGCTTCCATGCAATCACCGCCTGCCAGGAAAAAGCTGAAGTTAGCGGATTCCACTGATGTACCAACTATGATCGCCGACGACGCGATGAGTTACACGAGGAGGATCATGGAGCATAAAATGAAGAGGATGCGTGCAATACGAGAGAAATACGCAGAGAATGCATCAGAATTATTCTTTCTCCATGCCGGGGGCAATATGATGGATTATCAAACTTGGAGGAAAAGGCCGCCGACACCTCAATATCTGCATTTTTTACGCCAACATAGATTAGATCCGGAAGACGACGACGAAGATTTAACAGCCCCACTGCCAGCAATAACTGAAATTCCGTTAACACCGAGTACCACGCCAACGACAGTTTCAACAATAGTTCCTGTGAGTCAGTGTGCAGAAGTCAAAATTACTGTTGCTCCGGTCGCAGTGTCGACGACGTTGCCTGCTGCCGTAGCCCAACTAAGCCAGCAAGGTACAACACATCATTCTACTATAATAATTCCATTCTCTCCTATAGAAATAATCTTTTTACTCGGCACCAATCATGTTTCTTAGAACATTACAGTGCATTTAGACCAAATAAACAACTCCTTGTACGCCACCCGCTTCGAAATGTTTATACTTCTTCCTTGTCGTCTGGAAATTGACAATTTGTGGAAGAATGTTTGCATTATTTAAATTTGGAGTGAGAGACGAACGAGCATTTGTTCGTTCGGTCTAAATGCACCATTAGAAGGCACACCATACATTTCCACGAGAACACATATTACAATACTTCGAAAAGAATTCAAATGTCACAGAATATGTTTTATGAAATCGAAATAATTACTTTGCATAATAGGACATATACCAGGCAGGCCTCAAGGCGGCCGCCATGGCATGGTGTTTGCCTTCAGAGCAGCAATTCAGTCTTCACCAGTCACTGCTCACCCTCCACCCACTTCTACTCTAGCACCTACGCTCATTATAGGTGACTACTGCAGGCATATCATTCGATGTTTAGATCCATTCATTTTTCATTTCCAAAATGATTTTTTCAAAATACTTGCTTATTCTGCTACTCGTCGAATTTGAATATAGCCATTGCCTAATGCTTTCACGTGTGGGATCAAGCGGAGAAATGATCAAAGAAGCACAAGCAGTAAATACAAAGACCAAGCATCACTTAATTTCGATTGCGTCGTATAAAACATTTTGCGTTATTAGTAGAACATTTTATTATGATCTCAATTGAGTAAATCTAATTCAAGAGTCGCATGTTTCTTGAGGTAATATTTAGCTGTATTTCATGCACTTCACAATTCACTTTCATTCCTCAAGCTATGTTTTCCATCTTGTTCCATTGTTTCCACTTCTACAATATTACTTGTTGTTCACATAAACCCACACCGACGACTATTTCAAGCTTACCTATTTTGAAGTAGTCACACTATGTGGGTAAATTAACTTACAGCTTATGTAAGATTGTTTAGCGATCTGCTATTCAACCCAAGGGCGCTGTTGATACACGCACATTTCCTACAAGAATTTTTCCTGCCACTTTCGTTCGTCCATTAAATCGCTTCCTTATTGTTACAGGGAACGCTCCGATAGTTACAAGTTCGCCAAAATCTGTAACAACTGTGGCAAGTCCAGTGACGGATAAACCTAGCACAATAGCTACAACTGTAACAACAACTGTTACCACTATGACCACCCCTACTCTTACCCTCACCGAAACTATAACTACCACTACTAATACTACTGTTACTACCGTTACTACTACTACTGCTACGACAAAAGCATCTTCGATGCCTATCTTATCTACTCAGCCAGTCGTCAAGCTCGTGAAGTTACCTGCCTCCACCGCGACTACCACGTGTGATACCACAAATAATCAAGAGCAAATAGTAGAAAAAGCGAAACAGGAAGCTTACGTCATGCAGAGGATCGCGGAACTGCAACGTGAAGGTTTGTGGTCGGAGAGAAGGTTACCTAAAGTGCAAGAACCGGCTCGTACGAAGGCACATTGGGATTACTTATTGGAAGAAATGGTCTGGCTGGCTGCTGATTTTGCTCAAGAGCGAAAGTGGAAGAAGGCAGCAGCAAAGAAGTGTGCGCGTATGGTACAGAAGTATTTCCAGGAGAAGGCGATTCAAGCGCAGAAGGCCGAGAAATCGCAGGAGCTTCGATTGAAGAAGATCGCCGGGTTCATCGCTAAAGAGATAAAAACTTTCTGGACGAACGTGGAAAAGGTGAGTTACCGATTGATATCAATTGAAAGTTTACCCCACACTATTAAGCCGACGATTTCAATGTATGCCAATTGAAATGGTGTGCTCGTTGTGGGAACAGCAAAGTCTGCTCATTGTGTATGATTGTATTGACTCTTGCGGTATAATCAAAGTATTGGTGCAGGACATTCACATGAAATAGCAACGAGTATTTTATTCGGTTCTCTTTCAATATGTTTTATAGTTGGTGGAGTATAAGCAACAAACAAGGCTCGAAGAAAAGAGGAAGCAAGCGCTGGACCAGCACTTAAATTTCATCGTGGGTCAAACGGAGAAATATTCAACCTGGTTGACGGAGGGGCTTAATAAAACTGAAGGCTCTCAAAGTATACCGGCTTCTATAAATAGTTCTCGAATTTCTTCTCCGATTCCACCTGGGAAATCTCACTCCGATGGTGCGGAGCGTATTAATTATGTCATCTTCTTTATTCTTTTGTCATGTTTTTAATTACTTTTTCTTAATGCAGAGGACTTCCAACCTAATCAAAGTTCGGACGACGATGAGGAAACTATAGCGAAAGCAGAAGAGGAACTGAAATCCGTGACGAATCATAAAGAGGAAGTTGAATTACTGAAGAAAGAATCGGAAATACCTTTAGAGGATCTCTTAAAAGAACTACCGCCAGACTACTTAGAAAATAGAAGTAAAAGCTTGTCACCTATGTCGAAAGAAATTAAGGAAGAAGTATGTTTAATATTTCTCAACTTATATAATTTAATCATATTGTATTTTATGTTGACTAATTCATTTTTTGGACAGGAGATCGAAAAGGCAGCGGATGGAGACATGGATTTCGTTGCCGCATCGGATGAGTCCTCGGACGAGGAGGAAACAATTATGGAACAAGAGAAACTAGAGGCAAATACGGATTATAAACAAGAATTGGATGATCTTAAAGTACGCACAAGCTTCTTTAAACGCGATCAGAATGAAAGAACTTTGTCTATAAGAGTTTGGTTATTTTAGGCTGAGAATGAAATGTCTATCGACCAACTCATGGCCAAATATGGGAACGTGGGAGATGTTCCAATGGACGTTGAACAAGAGTCCACTCAAGGTAAACATTTCAATTAACTTCCCTTATACGAATACTTGTGTATATTTGCACTGATGATGATATTCTACCAATCCTGATGGTTCAAAAAATGGTTTTCATTTCTTGATTCCGATTCCCTGATGTAACTTGAGGCATTTGTCTGAAAATAAAACATATCGCTGACAACTTAACACGTGTAATATTCCGATTTTAATACATAATTGTTTATTTGTTTAGATTTTGATAAGGAAAGTGCAAAAGAGGAAGAGGGTCAAGAAAATGATGAGGAGTCCACAGATGACGAGAGTGAAAGCGAGGAGAGCGATAACGAAGTCGAAGACGAATCTCAGACGCAATCGGACAACGAAGCTGATATTGGGCTCAAGTCTCTATTGGAAGATATATCCATGGAAAAATCAACGGACGACAAGGCTGGGGAAATTGATCATTCTAATGCTCGCGATGAAATGGATAATGTAGCGGCACTGGCAGAAAGTATTCAACCCAAAGGAAACACATTGCTTACCACCAGTGTAAGTTTTGATGCATTTTTTCTTGTAGCAGTAAATTATTATAGAGGCCTTTCTATCCAAGATTGTGTAACAATAATTTGCACACGATCATTTCAGAAAGGCAGAGTAATAGTGATACTTTCTTGTGATAAATAAATTATTTAATTTATTTTAAGAAATCGTCACGATAATTTCTACAAAACATAGAAATCAAGAGCGAACAGCTTTTAGTAGTTGCTTAATGAAATTCATGTTTTCAGGTTGTCACAAAAATTCCGTTTCTTCTGAAGCATTCGCTTCGAGAATACCAACACATAGGATTGGATTGGCTTGTAACGATGTACGATAGGAAGTTAAATGGTATTTTGGCAGACGAGATGGGTTTGGGTAAAACCATACAGACGATCGCTTTACTCGCGCACTTGGCGTGCGAAAAGGGTAACTGGGGTCCTCACCTTATAATAGTACCAACATCTGTGATGCTCAATTGGGAAATGGAATGCAAGAAGTGGTGTCCTGGATTTAAGATTTTAACTTACTACGGAACGCAGAAGGAAAGAAAACAGAAAAGAACAGGTAATAAAGCATTACTGTGTACTATTTTGAATAAACGAGAGAGCAGTATTTTTTATGTCCTATCTAATTTCAGGGTGGACGAAACCTAACGCTTTTCATATATGTATAACGTCGTACAAGCTGGTCATACAGGATCATCAAAGTTTCCGAAGAAAAAAGTGGAAGTATCTCATATTGGACGAAGCACAGAATATAAAAAATTTCAAATCACAGAGATGGCAATTACTACTAAATTTCCAGACACAGCGGTAACTATTTACGGTTCTAAATATGCATAGATGATCTCATAACTATTACGATTTGTATACGAAATACATTGTTAATTTACAGACGATTGTTACTCACCGGTACACCTCTGCAAAACAATTTGATGGAACTGTGGTCGCTCATGCATTTCTTGATGCCAAACGTATTTCAGTCGCATAGGGAATTCAAGGAATGGTTTAGCAATCCCGTTACCGGAATGATCGAAGGCAACAGCGAATACAATGAAAATATTATACGTCGTCTGCATAAGGTTTGTACGTAATTTATTTTCATGTGCATTATTTTACTTACACCAGTATTCGCTACCGACACAGACGCGTGTAATTATGTATCACCTGTCTGTTTTTTTTTTTTATAAATAGCGAAATATTAAGAGATTCTCTATTAAAACTCGCGTGTCAGAATATGTG